GAACTAGGGGCCACCAAATGAAATTAATGGGCAGCAGGTTTAAAACAAATAAAAGGAAGTTCTTCTTCACACAGTGCACAGTCAACCTGTTGAACTCCTTGCCTGAGGAGGTTGTGAAGGCTAGGACTATAAAAAAGAACTAGACAAATTCATGGAGGTTAAGTCCATTAACGGCTATTAGCCAGGATGAGTAAGAAATGGTGTCCCTAGTCTCTGTTTGTCAGAGGGTGGAGATGGATGGCAGGAGAGAGATTACTTAATCATTGCCTGTTAGGTTCATTCCCTCTGGGGCTGCTGACAGTGGCCAATGCCAGGTGACAGGATGCTGGGCTGGATGGACCCTTGGTCTGACCCAGTATGGCCATTCTTCTGTTCTAAACCTCTGAGGACAGGACAAGAAGCAATGGGCTTAAATTGCAGCAAGCACGGTTTAGGTTGGACATTAGGAAAAACTTCCTTTCGGGGTGGTTAAGCACTGAAATATATTGCCCAGGGAGGCTGTGGGATTTTTTAAGAGCAGGTTAGACAAACACCTGCCAGGAATAGTCTAGATAATGGTTAGTCCTGCCGTAAATGCAGGGGACTAGACTAGAACAGTGGCTCTCAACCTTTCCAGACTACTGTCCCCCTTTCAGAAGTCTGATTTGTCTTGTATACCCCCAACTTTCACAATTAAAAACTACTTGCTTACAAAATCAGACATCAAAATACAAAAGTGCCACAGCACACTAGTACTGAAAAATGGCTTACTTTCTCATTTTTACCATATAATTACAAAATAAATCAATTGGATTATAAATATTATACTTACATTTCAGTGTACGGGACATAGAGCAGTATAAACAAGTCATTGTCTGTATGAAATTTTAATTTGTACTGACTTCCAGGGTGGATAAAAATCAATTTTTTTCTTATTTAAATCATTTTTTTTGATAAAATGCTTTTTGAGGAAAAAAACCTATCTAAAGATAGTTTTAATTAAGATACATTATAGCTCAAAGATGTCTCGCCATGGAACAGGGATTATAAATTCTAATTCTATAGTATGAGACAATATATTCATGTAATGTTTAAGAAACATTTTGTGAGTGAGTTCCAATAGTTCATGGATTAGGGACCCAATCTTATGGGGTTCCAGGGGCTTCTGTATAGATTATTTAGGTTAATCTTTCTATCTGCCCAATGGGACTCAATGCTAAGTCTAGAAGATACCATCAGAGATGCCTAGTTTTGCAGTTCTCAAACTGTGGATTTGTGTCTCCAGAGATAACATGCTTGTTAACAGCAAAAATGTTTTTAAATAAATAAATATATAGAGGTGAGAAATAACAGACCTCAACCCTATTGTCCCTCTGCAAATTTGTGTACACAGAGTCAGTTCCTTACCTCTCTCTAAAAGTGCAAAATTTCAAAAAATTCAATGAACAGAAGATTGTTGGGGGCGGAATAGATCTGGACAAGGAGCAGAAGTCTGGAGATAAATGTGAGACGGGAGGGAACAGGCAGCAGAAACAAAAGTTAAACTGTTTGAGCAGCATATTCCAGAAGTCTTGAGGTCTTTCTGAGTGTAGCCTTCATTGATTTGAGATCTACCATACCATTCTCTCACTAGAAGGGAAAACCTATAATGGCAGCAGGCCATAAAAGAGACCCAGTTTGGGTCTCATCTATCTCTGAGTTTTGAAGAATATGTATTAAGGTTATAACAACCAACAAGAATGCACTTTTATATAGAAATCCATGATTAAATCAAGTCTTCCTGACTAGTGATTTAAATTTGATTTAAATCAGGTGTCTCAAACAGGCGGCCCGCGGAGTTATTTCCTGCAGCCTGCAATAGCCCCCCTCATCCCCCACCTCCGCCCCCGAGCGCACTGCATCCCCGCTCCTCCGCCTACCTCCCAGTGCTTCCCGCCGCTAAACATCTGTTTGGCGGCACTTAGGACTTTCCAGGAGGGAGGGGGGAGGAGCAGGGATGTGGTGCACTCAGGGGAGGAGGCGGAGAAGAGGCGGGGCCGGGATTTGGGGAAGGGGTTTGAAAAGGGGCAGGGAGGGGGGGAGTTGGGGCAGGGACTTCGGGCAAGAGGTTGGAATGGGGGCAGGGCCTCATGGAAGGGGTGGAGTGGGGGCGGAGCCAGGGGCGGGGGCTTTTGTATCTTTGTTTGAAAAGGTGTCAGTGATGCAGCCCTCAGGCGAATATACTAGTCCTCGTGTAGCCCTCGTGATGATTTGAGTTTGAGATCCCTGATTTAAATCAAATCCACCCTGCTGACTTCATTAGTACTTTTTACATAGCCTGTTGTAAAACTAGGCAAATAGCTAGATGAGTTGATGTATCCCCTGGAAGATCTCTGCGTACCCGGGTTGAGAATCACTGGACTAGATGACCTCTGGAGGTCCTTTCAGTCCTACGATTCTATGATTGACACAGTTTACCACCTTTAAAACTGTGATGGGCTAATATGATTTTAAAGGTGTTAAACAATATCTATATTAGGTGTTAAGTGGGTTTCAAAAGTTAGCTAATGCAAGTTTTAAAAACATCTTTTTCCTATACAGTACTGTAAGGATTTGCTTAGAAGCCACAGGACCGTGGGCAGGCCCCTGCAAAGGAGCCATGAGAAACCAGCACCAGGACAGCCTTGGGGGAGGGAGGCAGAGATTTCCCTACATCCCCCCCAGTGGGGGTGTATACCCTCCCTGGATTTCCCCAACACCCCCCCTCCCCAGTGGTCAACTAGTTACATGCAGTGTTGCCAATTTAGTCTTTGGTTGGAAATCTGAATTGAAATTGAAACATTAATACACACTTTAGAAGCATATACAGTATATGATAAAATACTTCTACCTGAAAAAGTACAATAGGTTTGAAAAGTATGAACAAAGGCCTGGTCTACACTAGCCTGTTATTTCGGAATTAGCCGAGTTATTTCGAAAAAAAAATGATTCCGTCCACATGACCAAATGTTTTTTTCGATTTAAAGGGCTCTTTAATTCAATTTCTGTACTTAGGGTGACCAGATAGCAAGTGTGAAAAATCGGGACGGGGGTGGGGGGTAATAGGAGCCTATATAAGAAAAAGCCCCAAATATTGGGACTGTCCCTATAAAATCGGGACATCTGGTCACCCTATCTGTACTCCACCTCGGCAAGTGGAGTAGCGCTTAAATCGAGATCGCAATCCCAGGTTAAAGGTATTGTGGACGCAATTCGACGGTATTGGCCTCCGGGAACTATCCCAGGATGCTCCCTTGTGACCGCTCTGGGCTGACTCTGTCACCAGGCCACTTGGCCTGTATTAAGGGGCGCCCTTTGGGGCCCTATGTCCTGCATTGTAGGACGCTGCTGCCCATCAAGCGTTTGACCAGCTCCAGCGCTTGGGGGGAGCCTGTCTCTATGCTGATCAATGTGGGGTTTGCCCTTGACTTCAATAGGGGAAGGGGCAGGATTTCACCTTTCCTGGTTTCTGAGCAGTGCCTGTGACTTACCACACTATGTCTTATGGTGCCAGGTCTCCCAACAATAACCTTTGTCCTCGATTTTTCATAGGGATATATCCTGGATGGCCTTGAAAACCAGGTGATTCCCTTACGAGTGCTAATGCCAAGCACTCAAAAAATCATAAGGCAAGCCCCCAAATATCCCAAGATTGGCTTAAAAATCATGAGATTTTAAAATATAATACAATTGGGGTTCTTTTTATTTGCCTTCTGGTTTTTGAGCTTTTAGAGTTCCTGTTTTCCAGCTTTGCCCCTCTCCCATGAGGGCTAGTATCTTGTATTTGTTGTTGTTAATGATACCTGAGATTCTCACATACTCACAGGCCTCTACGAGGTGAGGCTCTAAAAAGAATAATAAATGTCGCTAGATCAGTGCTTAATTCACAATGAAAGGTGCCAGGTCTCAAGCAATTTTTTTACTTTCATAACTGATGCAGCAAGCCCAAAGGTACCAAGGCTATGAATTGCCAAGCCTACAGGTGCTGGGAGTCGGCCTTGGCAAACCCTTGCACAAATTAAGCAGATGGAGGGGGGAGGAAGGGGGGGGGGGAAGAGAGAGAGAGTGAGTGTGTACACAGCTTAAATTGGTTAAAAACCCTAACTTTCAGTACTCAGTGTTTCAAAAACGTTAGACTGCCAACCTGTGTCATAGAGATGTCTTTGGTTTAAAAAAACAACAACCCATGAATAAAGCTACTTTAAGGGAAATTACTGCTTTGTCCAACCCCAAAGAGCTATGTGATCTTTGCTCACCAATTCTCATAAAACTTGTATTTGTCATTCCTTTTTGGTGACTTTAGTATTACGATCTATTATAAATAAAGTGCATTTCATCGATTGATTTTAAAATGAAATTAGTAACTGGAAAAAATGGCCAGTATTTTTTTTAAACCTGTGATAATTATAAACTACTGTATTCTGTCATTTACTTTCTAGAATCCTAAGTATATCTAAGTATACTCTAAAGTTCTCCTGCGAAATGCCAGCTGTGCAAACCCTTCCGTGGCTGGATCATTCTTGTGTTTTTATTTTAAGTACAAAATAAATATGTATAACAAATTTAAAAGTATGTAATTAGTAATTTGATATGTCGGATGGTGTCTTTTTTTAATGTGTTCGCTCCCCCTGATGTTAGAACCTGGCTACGCCACTGGTCTCACCCCTCATCAGTCTTCACTTTCCCCCCCCCCCCCGCCCCCATCCATATTTTTGAACTACCACCACCCATTTCAAGTCCTGGGGAAAACACTGGGCTGAGGGAAAAGGAAGATGCCCCAGCGCTGGCACTGAGGAAGAGCAGGAAGTTGGGTAAATGTGTCACTGAAATGCACAGCAAAACCCTCCCTGCCAGCCCCCCCGAGGCACTGCCTGACACTCGAGCCCATGAGGGACCAGCTAGGGGATGGAGGGACGAGACGGGCCGTGTCCCCCCTCCCCGTGGGCAGGAGGGAGGCGGGCTGGCGGGGAGGGGTCTCCCTGCCCTGGCGCGCCGCTCCTCACCCTTTCGGCGCGCGGGGAGGGAAGCCCGGAGCACCCGCCCGCTGCTGCACAGCTCGGAGGCGTCCAAGAAGAGCGAGTCGGGATCGGGGTGCGGGTCGTCCTGCTCCTCCTCAACCTCCGCCTCCCTGCCCTTCGCCGGCAGCAACACCCCCCACAGCTCGCTCACGGGCCGCGTCCTCCCGCGGGCCTGGGCCATGTTTCCTCGCTGGGCCCGGCCGCTGGGGGCGGACGGCTCCTCCCCGCAGCGCCGCCGCCGCCGCCTCCTGGGCGGGCCCAGCCAGCCGGCACTGAGGGGCCGCGCGTCCAGCCGCTGAACCCCGTCCCCGCTTCTCCAGCAGCCCAGGCCCTTCCGCCTCTTTCAGCCCCGGGCCCCGCCAGCCACTCCCCTCCGCGGGGTGGGGCCCAGGGCTCAGTCACTGTCCCCGTCCCGTGGTATTGCCCGCCTTAGGGGCGCAGCTGTGTGCTGGCTGCGCTTCCCCGGCCGAGCTGGGCGCCGCACCCGCCACTGAACTGCTGGCCTGGCGCGGTCTGGCTTTCCTTACTCTTTACCCAACAACAACAGTAGCTGTAGTGTGAGGAGGAAACCAGGCTGGGAGGCGAGTAGCCTGTTACTAGAGCTCGCAGCCAAGGCCTAGCCACGCTGTTGGGGCTGCTCTGTAAAACTGCAGCACCACCGCACAAGCTATTTAAAGCTTTGCTGTAGTCTGTTGGGCCCAGGCTATTGGAGAGCAATAAGGTGGGTGAGCGAATATCTTTTATTGGACCAGCTCCTGTTGAGGAGAGACATAGGTGACTAGTAACTGCTTATAATAAAGGTTATGGTGGTATTGCATTGCCCCATGCATGGTGCTTGCAGCAGGGCCCAAATTTAGCTCTAACAGACCTTACAGGAACACTGTGAAACTGACTATACACAAAGTGCCATCAATACATAAAACTGAAGAAACTGAAAAAAAGTAGAGGAGACTCTTCCTCCCCCTCCACCCCCACTAATCTCTTGGGTTTTTGTAATCCTACTCGTTAGCTTGTACAACATTTTCAGACAGAAATGTGCTTTTTCAAGTAGACATTGTGCCTTTAGCTGTGATTCTACATTTCTGCCCACCTGGAGAGGAATGCAGGATTCCTAGCCCCGTAGGGAATTCCAGACTGACTGTCACAACCCTGGGGTAAAGCAGGACTTGGATGGTGGCCATCTTAATAAAAAGTGTAAGCACTTTTGCAACCCTGCTTTCAGGAAATATTACTCTACAGCCAACCTTAGATCTTTCATATATACTGGAAACTTGACAAATCATTATCGATCAAGCAGTTTGTGCTCCAGAAAGACCCCAGGAGAAAGTATGTTTCCAGAATCGCTGCAAGTGGTCTGGTCCATTCACAAGCAGGGGACACAAAAGTAATTTATTCCTGTCTCTCCCTATTTGGGAAATTGTGTTCTCCCTCAGATATAGAAATACCTAAAAAGAACATCTGGTGGGAAAATGTCTGCAGAGATACTCCCTGCTGTTAGTAGGAGGAGGAATTTGTATGGTTTATTTTTAAGTTGGAACAATTACCACATATTTGTACCCCTATAACAGATGCTTTGACAAGAGCAAAATAAAGCTGACAGGCATTCATGGAACACCACCCAGGACTGAAAAATTATTCTTTAGAGCTCCTGAGATCAAACAAGACACTGGGAGAGCCTACTGAGCTCAGGTCTGAAGTAACTCTCATGTTCAGTCTATCCTCCTGTTAATTGGTAGGGATAGCTAGATGCACAAGAGAACTCGAGTGCACAGAACTGTTTTGTGTAGCATAAGGAAGCTCAATGGCTCTGTCATACACAGAACACAAGAGTGCATCAAACCATAATTAAATATTATAGGCCTATATTTCTTCATACTAGTAGGGTGAGTCTATAATGAGGTTGAGGACCCATACCTTAAAAAAGTGAGCAACGCACTTGAACTATATAGAAAGATGTAGCCTGCTGTTAACTATGAATGTCCCGTTAACACCTGAGTTTTTGACCTGTAATAAAAGGAATATTTCATTTGCAAAAAAAGTAAAAATAAACTGAATGATGAGGCAGCTGGTAACATACAATTAACTGCAGCACTGTTGTGCACTATTAGAAATCCACAAAATAAATGCATATTTACCCACCTTTTCTGACCCTGCCTCCAGTTTAACAAGATGAACAACAGATGCTGCTTAGTTTACTAAGATTTTAATTTTTTTTATTTTGTTTTGCTTTATTTTTAATGTGTAAGTTGGTTAGAGAATTCATATTGAATAGGGTTAATTTAATGGCTATTTTATATGTATATATATATATATATATATAACTGAACACCCTCAATTTTAAATCTAGATGGACTCCAAAAATCTGTCATACTTGTTTCTAATAACAGGAACACAGAAATATAGGAATTGCCAAATTACCAGACTGGATTAGAATAGCAGTCAACCTCGTCCAGTATTCTGTCATCAACAGTGAGCAGTACCAGATGCTTCAGAACAAAGTTCAAGAAACCCTGCAGTAGTTAGTTATAGTATAAGGTGCCCCAGGGAAAGTTTACTCCTATTCCCCAATAGTATAGATTATCTTATGCCCTGCAGCATGTTAAGGGTTTATATCCCTCAGGGTATTTCTTTTAATATATAATTACTATTATAACTTGGATATTCTTAGTATCTATAAATGTCTAATCATATTTGGACTCCTTCTCAGCTTCTGGCCTCAATGAAAATCGCAGTGAGTTCCACAAGCTACAGAGAGTCCTGTGGCACCTTTTTACAGATCCAGACTAACACGGCTACCCCCCTGATACTTTCCACAAGCTAGTTCTCCATTGTATGAAAATATAATTCCCTTTACAAGATTTGAATTTGCCTTTCGATTTCATTTAATATCCCCTTGTTCCCACAGTGTGAGACAGGGTGAACAGAAGTTCCCACTCTGTACCATCCATTGTTTTCTACACATTTATCAGGTCCTCTCTCATTCATCTTAGCTAGGATTTTCATAGGAGCCTCGGAAAGTTAGACCAGTGGTCCCCAACCTTTTTTGTCTGGCGGATGCCAGACAACGAGCCATGGAGGACCGTGGCGGTGGACGAGCATCTGCCAAAATGCCGCCGAGAAGCTGCGTCATCCAGAGGTGTCGCCGCCGAAATGCTGTCGAAATTCGGCAGCATTTCGGTGGATGCTCGTCCGCTGGTCAGTACGTGGGCGCACTTAGACGCCCCCGGCACCACATTGGGGACCCCTGAGTTAGACACTTGAAATCCCATTGAAGTTCAATGGGAGTTGGGCACCTAACTCCTGGGGCTCTTCTGAAAATCCTAGCACATCTCTCTAGTAAACATGCCAGTCTTTTCAATATCTTTACATATCAGAACTTATCCATGCCTTGGATCAATCACAGCACCCATGCCCGAATTCCCTCTATTTCTGCTTTATTCTTATCCGATCCGATCTTCGCATAGTATTCCAGATGAGGGCATACCATTGATTTATACATTGGCATTATTTTACTCTCCATTTAGTCTCCATTCCATATGTATCCTAACATTTTGTTTGCTTTTTAACTCCTGTGCTGCACAGTGAGTGGAGGTCTTCCCTGAGCTGTCTGCAGTAATGTTCTGCTCTCTTTCCTGTTAATATAGAATGCACTTAGGTATATGACTAGATAAAATCACTTCATGAATTATGAACAAAATCTTTGGTATAAAGCTTGGCTAAAATATGGGTGTTTAAATACATATTAGATCAAAATGTGATAGTGTACCTACTTTATACAATTTAACTGAGTTGTGGTAAGGGCACTTAAGTGTAGTTATGAACTAGCAGGCAAAGCAGCTACTTCTCACAGGAGAAACCTTGCTATATTGCAGTTAAAGAGGAAGACAGCAGAGTCTTCTTCCTAGCTTCTGCTAAAGATTTTACTCCTCCATTAAGTGCAGTATTGGGTCCTCGGATTGAAACCATATTGTACAAACACTGCAAATAGTACTCACAAGTAATCAATGTACCAACATTAGCTGCATTCCACATCACTACTCTAATTGATTTCAGTAAGACTACTTATGTAAATAATGTTGCACATGTGTGGAAATGTTTGAAGGATTGGGCCCTAATCTACTAATTTAGGGAGTGCCACATTATCAGTCACAAAACTCTGGAACTGCTAACTTAATCAGCACTCATTCCTGAAGCATTTTCCATAGTCTGACTCGATTCTCCCTTGCAAAACTCCACGCACGCATGGTAAACACATTTTGGGGGGGAAACAAGCAAGTAAAATATTGCTTTTATTAAAATATTGTAAGTTCAGGTTAGTAGAATTTGTGCCTCTGCTGGTACATTTTCATAACAATTTAGCAAGCATGACTCAAATGCAAAATGTATTCATAGTCAAGGAAGAATGAGTAACTTGCACTAAGTTACCTTGATATCGCTCACATGTCAGTTACTCAGTTCCATACCCTTGCATGACAATTGCTGTTAAATGTTCTACAAGTGTTGGTTGCAGATTTTTTTTAAATGCCCAAAGAGCAATAATCGTTGCCTCAAAGAAGACAATAACCTCCAGACACACAGATCAAGACTTTTCCCCCCTTTAAATATGTTCCCGGTTAGGCGCCAAAATACATGATGCAATTTTTCAAAAATGAAACTGATGGGTGCTTTGAAAAACTGGGCCACTTACTTAGGAACCTCAATAAGGATTTAGGGCTCTGATCCTGTTCCTATTGAGATCAACGGCAATGGTATCCTTGAATTCAGTGATGCAAGATAATGCCCTATGTGCCTAACTTAAGCACCCATTCTTTAAAGTCTCATCCTTAATATTTTAATAAATACTTTGTCCTTCTATAGCACATTCTTCCAAAGTTTCACAGACAAGTTCATCATCACATGCCCTTCTTAGCTAAGAATTATCCCCATTTTACAGATAAGGAAACTAAGGCAGAGAGAAATGAAGCGACTCGCATAAAGGAAGTCTGTGGCAAAATAATAATAATATTTAGGTCATATAAAGAGAAGCCAGTGTTTTAACCACAAGACCATCCTTCCCCTACTTTGAATTTCATATCAACATACAACAAACATTTGGAGGATGCACTGGAGTGTTAAGTGCTCACCAGCTACTAGTAGGCTGGCCCAGATCATAGGAGAAGTTTGGTTTCCTTTCATGAAATATGAGTCTGATTCTGCACTCATGCAACATTTGGGACTCA